TATATATATATATATATACACACACACTATATCTATATAGTATCTATCTATTTATATATGCAGTACCTCTCTCTCTATATATATATATAAATATATAAATAAATATGTGTGTGTGAACGTTAAATGGATACTGTACGCATTTTTTACAAATTAAATTATATACACACACACACACACACACACTTTAAAAAAAAATAAAGAAATACATTTGTAAAAATTAAGTAAAAACACATTTACATAAATTTCTTTATTTCTTTACCATACAAAATTTTTTTTTTAAATAAATAAAAACAGTTTTGTAGTTATAGTTTAGTTCAATGCAGATACTTCTTTTACGCCTGTTAATGTGTTTTATGAACCCTGCTGGCTTTATAAAAACATAATTATGCCTTAATTTGTAATATATCACATATTAAAATGTATTATTACTGCATGAGATAGTACAGCACAATTTATTAATATATATATATATAAAAAAGCTTAATTGACAAAACTGTGCTTTAAAAAGCATTTTATCAAACTCGACAAGGTATCCACTTCATATTACTGGAATACTACTGTCAGAGGGAAAAGTCTAATTTCTCTCTGTTTCGATACCTGTCCTCAGACAGATCCCTGTTAGAACATAATTAAGGTCGACTGTGAAACTCACTGGCATATCGTGGAAGGGCAGGCAACTGGCATTTACCTTAATTAGATAAAGATATGTACAAGCAATGTCCTCTAGAAGCAGACGCCTGTCTTCCAGCCGGAAGTTAGAAGTGCTGGCAGCTGCCTGTGCTCTGTAAATAAGGAGCAGCTTTGTGAGTTGATGGGCGAATAGAGGGAGGGAGAGAACAAGGTGGAGACAGAGAAGTTTAACCGACTGGGCAGCTGTTATAATTCTATCCCTTCTTTGCTGACTTGAGTTAACGCTCTCTTCAGCCTTTGGGTTGTTTTATTAATATTACTAGTCTGCAGTATTCCTTACATATTAAGCATGCGGGGCCTTTAACAGGTGTTTAAGTAACCAAGCTTATAAAAACACTAAATACTGCCACTAATGTTTGGGAACCCCCCTGTGTAACAATGTGTTCTCCCCCTGTTCAATTATTTGTCCCACTCACACACAATAACAGGTAGGTGGTCACTTCCTTAATCACTTACTCAGGAAATGAAAGTGTGGAGCCTTGTCTGCACATTATAGTATCAAATCAAAACAAAAAACCCTCGCATGTGTGCATCAGAGAATGCTTTATTAAATTATTTTAAGCTCTCAAAATGTGCATATTATTAAATGCAAACATAAGTCAAAATCCTAGCACACATATTTAGAACTCACAGTATCTGCAGTCATTTGTCTACAGTATAATATAAATCAGCTGGTCATGACCTAATAAAAGGGAGTATAAAACACTTCCCATACCTTTTGTTATTGACGTCAATGGCTGTGAATCCAATCAAGCTCTACACCAGAGGTTCAACTGGTACATGGCAGCCAAAAAATGGGTTGCAAGTCCGTTCTGATAGGGTCACGGTAAATAATATGTAAATAATAAACTGCAAATAAGCATATAATAGTGCATAGTTAGGATAGCAACATAAACGGGCTTATTAACTTTAAAGGGAGGAGAAAATGCTTTCAGTATATTTCGTGTTTGGCAACAAGCATCCAATCAAACTCTACATTATTTTGGTCTAAATTCATTGTAGCCAAATTAGGCAGATGCCAATATAGAAACAAATAAAACAATATTACCCGCACCACAATAAATACAAAATGTCCATGCTTGGTTTTAAAGGTAAAGTGTGG